AAAATACTATTGGAAAATAATAATGATAAATAATATTAGTGGAAATTCTTGAGACGTGAGACAATGAATGATTGCTTATAACTTATATTTTACGATCTCGTCAGTCCCTAATTCACGTTATTATGGGAAATAAGTGGAGATTTTCAAATTTCAAATGATTTACGACTATAAACCACATAATTCTTAAGTTTGACGGTAAACAATAAATAATTAGATAAATTATTGTCCCATAAATTTTGTTTTTTGAATTTTTAGATGAAATTTCGTATTTCAAGTAACGAGTATCCATATTATCTTAAAAAAATAGTGAAAAAATCTGATATGCTCAATATACTATATACAGCAAGTTGCAAAATTTTGTTATTTCAAATTTTATAAATAATTTCTCTCAACAGTACAATCGTAGACCATTTTGTAAATGTCAAAACTAAACGAAGCATATTTATATATTATATATATTATTATTATTATATATTACATATTATATTCATATATTATATATTATTATTATTATTATTATTATTACATAAGTATATTTATATATTTTCTCTGGAAACAACTGATTCAATTTATTAATTCTGCATACTAACTCAAATTTCTCCCAATAATTAGATACATTATTTATCAACAAATAAATCGTCCAACAATTCAGAGTGATCTATTAACAGATCACTGGGACTTAATGGGTTAAGCGTCGACACGGAATTAAGAATTGTACGAGTCCCTCTTTCACCGTCTCCTCTATCAATCCACGTCATTATTTTTGCCACAGCCATAATTGCACTGATTTCGCAAGCTCGAAGAGCAGCGTCTTACGCAAGGTAAGTAGCGGCGGCGAAACTGAACGGCGAACTTTCGTACATTGTGCGATTTAGAGCGCGCGAACTTCCGGTTAATTCGACGTATTTACTTCGAACACGATCCATGAATATTAACAAGTTTTTCGCGTAATCCGGCACGCGTGTCAACGTAATGAAATATTTACGCGCGGAGGAATTTTCTTCGATCTCTAGTTGCCAACTAATTACGAGCATAATGAACTTGTTACGCGAGTTCGTTGCGTATGTCTGGAGATGTTCGATTGAACTGGAAATTAACCCTTTGAACTCCGTAGGTTGCAATATTGCACCAGTTATAATAATATTTTAATGAATCTTGAAGAAACTACCCTGAAATTATTCGATTTTCCGCAAATAAAAAATCGAAGAAATGTTGCATTTCTAATTTTCGCTAGGAATACTATAAAAATTAGTTGCAATTACTGATAGATTACAAAATAACCTGGAGTGCTAAGGGTTAATAATTCTGAATCAAATAGAATCATTTTGTATAGAATATAAATTAAAACAGGAGAATATAAACAAACATTGTGGGATTTTTTGATGCATAGAATTTGCATCTGAAAAATGTCCCATAAGTATTTCGTTTGAAAAACT